TTAGAAGCTACCTCTTCCCTGGGAATTACAGCTTAAGAAAAAGTTCAGGGTCCCTCCTGGTCTTAGTTACTTCCTTATTGCTGGGACAAAATACTTGACATCTTCAAGTTACGGGAAGAGGGGCTTGTTTTGGCTGTTATAGAGGGTTCAGTCCACTGTCAACTGGCTCCAGGCAGGGTGGCGCCGCGGAGGGGAAACAAACAGCACGAGGTGCAGCAAGCCGAGGGCAGGGAGCGCTCCGGGGGAGGGACCCGCACATACATCCAAGCCACGCCCCCAGCGACCCAGCACCTCCCACCAGGAAGCTCCTCCCAGTCTCCCCCAGATAGAAACCCATCAGTGACCTAATGCAGCACCACACACCAGGGATCCCTCACCTCTGCAGAACCCCATCTAGGAGCACAAGGGGCTTGGAGGAGACATCTAGATGTGACAAAGCACCTCTCCCTCGGCCTCCTGTGCATCTCTTTAATTAATTAATTAATTAATTAATTAATTTTTTTGAGACAGGGTCTTACTATGCAGCTCAGGCTGGCTATGAGCTCACTTTGTAGCCCAGGCTGGTCTGGAACTCAGAGTTCCTCCTGCCTCAGCCTCCCAAGTGCTGCGATTTCAGGTGTGCCTCACCATGCCTGGCATGCATCTCTATACAACATGGATGTAGTCCATTTCTTAAGAGTTGCCAAAATTCTGCTAGGCATGGTGGTACACACCTATAATCCCAACATTCAGGAGGCTGAGGCAGTCTGACTAAGTTCAAGGCCAGGCTGACCTACACAGGGAGACCCTGTAAGTTCAAGACCAGGCTGCACTATATAGGAGACCTATCTCAAACAAAGAGCTGTCAAAGTCCTAACAGTTCCAGCATTGCTAAAAAGCCCAAGGCCAAATAAGGCAAACTCTTACTATGAGCTCTTGCGAAAATGAAAAGAAAGGTAAATGCTTTCAACACACCATGGCGGGGCCAGGGAGATAGCTCAGTAGAATAAACGTTTGCCTGGCAAACGCAGGGTCCTGAGTTCAATCCCTGGTACCGCATTAAAAAAAAAAAAAAAATACACGGTTCAACACACCATGGCAAAGATAAACATTACCACTCCACAGGTAGAAATAGGAAGATAGAAAATAATGGGACAAAAGCAAGACCAAATTCCAGCAGGGAAAACATCAGATCCTGCAGTTTCATGTGCAGCACCCTGGGCAGCACGTGGCAAGATACGAACTTGGACGGGCTGGAAGGCCACGTGCCTCCTGCGCTGCTGCTGGGGCCTCTCTTCCACCTCTCTTGAGCTAGTTCTTTTTTTTCTTTCTTTTTTTTTGCCGAACCAGGGATTGAACTAGGCCCTTGCGCTCTCCAGGGAAGCGTGTATTCCACTGAGCCACTTCCCCGGCCCCACCTGAGCCAGTTCTGCTCACGCTCAGGCTTTCCTCAGATGCTCCACGTTCTTGGCTTCTCGCGCCTCCTGGGGTCTCCTCTGCACCTTGGCTTCACGCTCACGGAGTTGCACACTGCCCTCTCAGGGGCCACGCTGCTTGACCTCCCAGGCCGCCTTCTGAGACCTTTCTGCCCCCACAACTCTTGTACTCTGCATGTTCCTAAAAACTGCAGCCTGAGGAGGACCCCACGGTCTGCCACCAGCTGGAGCAGTAGCCGGGCTCCCTTCTCCTGGGTGTGGAGAGGGTGCCTGGACTGCTGAGCACTCTGAGCCCAATGTAGAGGCACAAGCTCCCTGGGCCGCTGTCATTCTGGAACATGGTTCCTCGGCTGTTCTCAAAGCAAAGCCTTTGTGATGTTGAGGCTACAAAAGGTAAAGTCCTGCTGGTCCTCGTGACAACCTCAGACCAACTTTCCTACTGCCCTGTTCCAAGCACTTGGCTTTTGGAAGCCAGCTGTTTTAACAACCACGTTCTCCTCTGTTCCATCTTTGCAGGCTGCAATGTTACTGGAGCTCTATTTCTGGCCAAACTCAAAACTTCTAAAGTCATTCTGCTGGGCTGTTTGCTCTCGATTCCCAAGTAGAGCTAAACAACCACCACAACAATAACAAACGGAACAGTGGCCAATGCCACTATCTCAACACCAGACTGCGCTTCTGCCAGACTGATCTACTGCCCTTAAACTCAGTCTTCTGCAACATCTCAGGGCACAGCAAAATGCAGACAAAGTTTTTGCCACAGCCGAGTCCAGCTGCCAAAGGAGACCTCCCTCTCTAAGGGAACCTCCCAGGCTGGTCTTGACTCGCTGCACTTGTACAACATTTGGGTCTTCTGAGCTCCCGCCAGAATCTCCCATGCAGCTCAGCTCACAGCATTCCAGAGCTGCTGCTTCAGCGGCATCTCCAAACCTTCCTGAACCCTCCAACACGTCAGCTCCAATGGCTGCTCAACCCCATGGTCACAGAATGACCCCACTTCTCTGAGGCCAAAGTTGGTCTTACGTTCTCATGGCTGGAACAAAATACCCTGCACCCACAATTAAAGGAGGAAAGGTTTACTTTGGCTCACAGTTTGTAGAGAGTTCAACCACGGTTGCCTGGCTCCAAGGTAGGGCAGTGTGGCAATTCGTGATGTGGCAGACAGGGACAGGGGAGTGCTTGGAGCAGGAGGCGGGATCTACGTATATCGGTATCCGGTGCAGCCACACTCGCAGTGGCCCACACCTTCCCACCAGACATCACTTCCTGGTGTCACACGTGGGTACAAGCCCATCAGTGGACTAATCCGGTACCACACACCCATGACTCTGCCACCTCCCCAAAGTCCCCACTTGTAAGATGTTGGGGGGACATCTAGGTAGAACCATAACTCCCCTTATCCCATCTGCCTCCCACTAGCCAAGGAAGCAGCACCAGGGCACCCGAAGAACCCGCCTTACCCCACAAAAGGTTTTGTTTTCCAGAATTTACTGGGGAAAGGCAAATTCCCCAGATAGTTCAGTAGACAAAGCGCCTGCTTTGGCAGAACGCAGCAGCCAGGATTCGATCTCCGGTGTGCCATGCCAGCCCTGCCCGCAGGGCGCACTGAGACGGCGATGGAGACTGGGTGTGGTGGCACACTTGGGAGGCTAAAAACAGGAGAATCACTGAGTCTGATCTATGTAGTGAGATCCTGTACACCCTGTAGACCCTGTTCTAAATTCATTTAAAAAAAAAAAGAATTTACTGGGGAGGAATACTTTCTCTTGAATCTTGCCTAACTGTCCTGGTTCCCAAGAGCCAGTGGGAGTTCCCAGCTTCCCATCCATGTCTGGCTAACCTCAGTCATGGTACTACTGGCAGCTTCAGTGGGAGGCATTCAGTGCGTACGTGTGTGTACGTGCACGCTCGTGTGTGTACCAGTGTCTGTGACACTGGCCAGTCCTGGGGCCAAATGTGGCCAAGCCCCATAGAAACAGCTTCCCCTGACCACAGGAAGATGCAGTCTCCCATCTTTCCCCAGTTAGGTGCCCAAGTAGGAAAGCGATCCCTTTTGGTTTTTGCACAGCTAAAACCAGGGGCAACCAAAGCTCCATGCCTACTGAAGCCAGAATCTTTGGCCATCAAAGTGACATCCCAAGGAGCAAACTCACGACTTCTCCTCAGCTCCCTCTGGCCAGTTTTGTGCAAAGACCTTGTGACACAACAGGGGTGGGAACCAAGCTCACCTTTAGCTTTCCTCAGCACGTAGCACTTGGCTCCGACTATCAAGGCGCCGATGACCACGCCCAGGACGACAACTGTGATAAGCACTTTCTTCCACGAGGCAAGAAAGACTGGAGATGTAAAGGGGAAGAAAAGGGAATATTTGGCTTTTTCTCTGCCAGCAAGAAATATTAGGTGTAAGCAACAATTAAGACCCACTTTGCGATTTTTGTAACTAGCACCTAAGCCTGGCAGCTGCCTCTGAGGGATTTGACAGTCACGTTGCAGGTGCAAAATTGGTTATTTCTGCTACAAACCAGGCTCAACTGTGGCCTGGTTTATAGCAGGGGGATCCAATCGATTTTTATGGGCATATTTTACTTTTGGAGTGTCATCTGCTTTCCTTCTTCCCTAGGAAGTCACCAGTGCTGGTTGATTCGTTGTGTCAACTTGAGAAGCTGGAAGCTCGGCAGGCTTAGCTCAGCCACTCCACGTCCCAGGGCACAGAGGCCCCTCCCTAGGGTGTGGAGGGCCACCCGGGAGCGGTTCAGCACAAACAGCAGATAAATGGGAGCTGAAGATTCTGTGCACCACTTCCTAGGAGGAACGCAGGTCTGCCCAGTCACTGTGGAAGGAAGAGGCTTCCTGGGCACCGCAGTTACTGCTTTTCCCTTTGCTTTGTGCTGTTCTCCGCTGCCATGACCTGCTACCCGGTGCCATGTGCCGCTCTGCCTTGGAGCCAGCTGAGTATGGACTGAAGCCTCCACTAACTGAGCTAAAGAAACTTTTCCTTCATTTTTGGTATCGGGTATTTGGTCCCAGCAACAAGAAAGAAGTAACCAAGATATCACCCTTCCCCACATCAGTGAGCTCCCTGACATGTCCTACCTGGGTGACCCAGCCCCCATAGCTACAGGTGTGACCCGAGGTGACTTCATTGGTGCATGCCTGCCAAGCATTTAGAGCTGGCATTGCCTGAAATACTTCTAATTCCTTATATACCCTCTTTTTACCAAGTTGATCTGAGTGGTTTCTGTCACGCTCTGGGGGAGAGTCTGAGGACACAGGTGCCACAGCCCTCGGTCACCTGAGCTGGACCCTCACCCAATGCTGCTCCCCTTGGAGCCTGGGCTGCATGTCATTGCTAAGACCCCGACTCACCCTTGACCATCAAGACGTTGCTGTGGGAGCTGCTCAGGGTGACGCTGGCTTTGTTGAAGGCTATGCAGTAGTACTGTCCCTCCTGCTCCTTGCTGGCCTGTTCCTTATACCAAATGACCTGAGTGTCATTCGAGATGGTTTGGTGGAAGGGTTTGGAATCCTTGTCTTTGTAAAACCTGTACGTGATGGGACCAGTCCCTTCAGTCACGGAGCACTGAAGCACAATCTCCTTCCCAGTTTCCACCTCAGAGTTCCTCAGGATCGAGAGCTTGACCTGGTGCACGGGCGCTAGAGGAAGAACAGGATTAGCACCGGGCAGTGAAGGGGGACAAAGAGGAGCAGGAGATGGCTCCTGCTCAGGGCCAGCCCAAGTGACACTGAGCTTGGGTTGGGCCTGCATGCAAGTCTTTCTCTTGCCCCCCTCGTTTGTTTTTTTGTGGAACCGGGAATTGAACTCAGGCTCTTGCATTTGCCAGGGAAGCACTTACTCCACTGAGCCATCTCCTCAGCCCCCTCTCTTGCCCTGATTAGTCTGGAAGAGCAGTGTCGGACACTGTTCTCATGCATTGATTAAATACGAGCCCCTGCAATGGCTCTCTCCACTGTTCCCTGGAGGATTCGACGCACTCAGCTGACCCTGAGGCCTGCCTGTGTGTTCTGTGGGTGCGGCCACGCTCATCTTGCAAGGAACTTTGACTCTGTCTGCTCGCGCTGTCAGCCTGGTTCGTTTCTCCTGCCTCTGCACTTTCACAGCCTGATTTCTCACTTCCTTATTACTGACATTTGGCTTCTACCCTTTCTTATTTTGAAACTGCATTCTATCCGTGGCTTTAAACAGAACAAAACAAAGCTTGCGTGATCTCAGGCCATGGGCCTGCGGCTGAAATGCAATGCTGGACTTCACCCATCCACTTCCCTGCTACAGCCCCAACAGCTGCACCGCTGCCCTTCCTGTTGAACTTGGCCTTCTCTCGCCTTCCACGCTGCCCCAGGATTCCGTCTCCTTCTGCTGTCCCTGCTGCTCGCCCTTCATTCACTTGTTTTCTTGAGGCTTAAACAGGAGCTCTCTGGAGAGTTAGTCCCCAGAGTTCCCTCTCCATCTCTCTGGTAATTTCCCCTCCTCTCTTAGCTGTGGCTACACCCAGACCACCGGCCAGCGGGCGGAGCTCCAACTGACAAGTCAACCTCTGGGGGTGCGGGCGTTCTGAGATCACGGGGATGCTGGCTGGGGGAAGCTGAGCACCACCTCTGGGTTGGCAGTGTTCTCAGAGTAGAGTGGGAGGCCAGAGGGTGCGGCCCAACCCGGCATCCTCCTTCACTGTGTAGCAAGAGGGGTGAGGCTCAGAGCCCACCTGGGCTCAAATCCCACCCACCAGCTCTCTGCCTTAATTGCCTGTCATAAATCAAAGCCACTACTCTAAGTCTTCCGCTGCTAGTATCAGTATGAACAGGATAAATTACTGCAGTGTTTTATTGGCTTGGCCAATAACCGGGGTTCTGTAAATGTCACCACTAGTGATGGTCCCATGGGCAGGACACTAGAACAGAACCAAGGGCCTTTGCACTGAGTGACATCCTGGTCCCCTTTTTAATTTCTTATTATGAGATAAGGTCAAGCTAATTTTCTAAGTGTCCCAGGTTAGGCTTGAGCTTGCAGCTTTCCTGCCTCAACCTCTCAGAGTTCTTGGATTATGGGCATGTCCCACTGCACCCAGCATGTAAATTTAATTTCAGTCAACAGCTCCCTGTGGGCTTCTGCATGTGCCTGGTAACATGTCCTGAGGTGACCCACGTTCTGGGTCCCCTCCTGTCCCTCTCAGGAGCCGTCTCTCCCTCAAAATTTCCTACAGAATTTAAAAGCAAAACAAACAATAGCCCAAAAGTGAGATGGTGATAGTCTATAATCTCAGCACTTGGGAGGCTGAGGCAGAAGGATTGCTGAGTTTGAGGCCAACCAGGTTACATAGTGAGTTCAAGAGTACCTTGGAATACATAGTGAGACTATCTCAAAAACCAACTACCCAAAATTCAAAAAACTCAAAAAGCAGCATTTAAAAATTAAAATTAAAAAAAAGCAATCAAAACAAAATCCAAAATCAGAAAGAACAAAAGCTATGTCCTGAGATCTAGAGTCTCCACTCCTTCCTGATCTAGCTAGCCACCAGATTAGTCTTCCAAGAACTCATTCTTACCAAGTCCTTCATTCTTCCACATTTTTTTCTTTTCTTTTTGAGAAAAGAATCAAATCCAGCTCTGGAGCATAATGGGAAATTCCTGCTCACCTCAGAAGTTTCACTATGCAGTTCAGGCTGACCATGAGCTCATGCAGCAGCCCAGGCTGGCCTTGAACACACAGCACCCCTCCTGCCTCAGCCTCCTGAGCGCTGGGGTCAGTTGTGCGCTACACGACCAGTTCTTTTAGCTTCTCACTGCATGGGGTCATATGCAGTTAATAAACTGCACGCCAGCAACAGCATGCAGCTATTAAATAAAAAAGACAAAGTGCTGAGAGGAGAAAACCTTAGTAAGCTCCCTATACTAGACACAGAATACCTAAGCAACACAGCTAAGAGAAGTTGTGGTCTTCTGAGGGGCATGAGATGGAGGCTTCAGAAAAGACAGCTACCTTCAACACAGGAGAATCCCAGGCAACATTCCTCAGACCAGAGCCTGCAGCTTCGGCTGTGGCAGGCTCCACACGAGACAGAGCCACTCCAGTGGGGCCACCCATCAGAAGCATGCTGGCCTATGATGCTCCCACAGTTCTCAGGGATGGCTCGTCATTGCCAATTATTTTATTTTTTGAGACAGGGCCTCCCTATGTGGTCCAAACTGGCCTCAAATTTGCAGTCATTCCCCTGCCTCAGCCTCCCGAGTGCTGGGATCGCAGGGGTGCGCCATCACACCTGGCCTCAAGCAAAGGCCAAGGTGGCCAACCCCCACCTTGGAGCTCCATGAATCCAGGACACCCTTCATGCACTGCCTCAGTTGGTCATGACAGAGGTCTGCAGAGAGGTCGCTCTGGCCACAGCACGAGACCTGAATACCTTCCAACCCCATGTTCTGGATCTGGTTATGTTTCGATGCGTATCCGGCTCATGCGCTTGGTGCAAGTCTCACCCATTTATTTTACTGACCCCACAATCTCTGAGTAACCCCAAAGCTCCCCAAATGCTAAGCAAAGCCCCAAGTGCTCATGACTTCTTCTCCTAGCACGGCGACTTACCTATCACCTTGATGCTCAGGGCCTCACTGGACGCCTCCAGGTGCGAGTGACAGTTATCGGCCACGCACTTGTAGTCTGCATCTTCCGTTGGGTTGTCTCGGAACACTGCAGGGTCATTCGAGGTCTTCGTGATGTTCTCTAAAATATCACTGCCTCGGAGAAGGTAGTAAGTGATGGGGGAGGTTCCGTTCTCAGACTGGCAGCTGATTCTCACGGCCTGTCCTTTAATGATCTCGGATTTGGTGTCATGGAAAATCCTGGGCTTGGAGATATTTCCTGGAATGACAGAGGAAAAGATTACTTGCACAGTCACAGAGCTAAGCATCCAGCTCCGGAGCATAATGGGAAATTCCTGCTCACCTTAGAGTGGGGGTGGAGACAGAGAGAGAGAGACAGACAGACAGACAGAGAATGTGTCTGTCTGCACATGGATATTTAGTAATGAGAGTCAGGGAAAGGCAAGCAGATGGGGGTGTGGCTCAGTGGTAGGGCACCTGCCTGGTCTAACATGCATGAAGCCCTACATTTGATTCCCAGGACCACATTCTTCCCTCACCCCCCAAAAAGGCTGGGACTGTACCTCATTGTGAAGGCCCTGTATTCAATATCCAGAGCCCCTTACCATACACACACACATGCACGCAATGTAGGTAAAATAAAGGATGGCACAGAGGCTAGGAGATGGCTCAGTGGAATAAGCGCTCCCCTGACAAGCGCAAGGGCCTGAGTTCAATCCCCAATTCCACAAAAAAAAAAAAAAAAAAAAAAAAAAAATAGAATGACACAGAGTCAGGCATGGTGGTGCACATCTATATTCCCAGCACTCAGGAGGCTGAGGCAGGAAAATTCCTTTAAGTCTGAGACCAGCATGGGCAACAAAGTAAGCTCAAGGCCATCCTGAAGTGCACAGCAAGACCCTGTCTCAAAAAAATTTAAAAAAAGAAATCATTACTTCCCTGAGTGCTTGTTTATATTTTAATAAAGCTCACCGGCGCACATACATATGCTTTTGTGTGTCTGGACCAAAGTCACAGAAAAGCATAAGCAAAGTACAGCAGCGAGTCAAACAGTATGCCTAGAAATAAACTCCCAGGTACCAGGCGTGTGGTACGCAGCTAACATTCCAGTACTGGGGAGGCTGAGGCAAGATGAACATGTCGGAGGCCAGCCTGGGCAACTCAGCTGGACTCTGGCTCAAAACAATTTTTTTTTAAAAGGGTTGTATGGGGCACAGTGAGACAGCGACTGGGACTGGGCATGGTGGTGCACGCATATAACCCCAGCACTTGGGAAGCTGAAAACAGAAGAATCACTACAACTCGGATCTACATAGTGAGACCCTATAGACCCTGTACTAAAAACAAAACAAAACAAAAAAGGACTGTGAAGGTAACTCAGGGCCAAGGCATTGGGTCAACCCCTAGCACCACTAAATAAATAAAAGACCCCTCACTGGGGTCCACATGTACTCAGCACCTCGAGACTCAGGGGCTGAAGTATCAGCGGCACCAAGCAGTCTTTAGGGTGTACATCCCGGCCCGTCCTGACCTCCTGAATCAAAATTTGTGTTGTAACAGGGCCTGTAT